TTTTTCCTATTCTTACTCCATAATTTGCTTGTTACATAGAGTAGAAAATCAATTCATTACTCTTGCGTGTTACTCTTCTATCATTGTATAACCATCGCATTTTTTGTGTAGATATTCGTCAGTTATTCTGATATGCCTTCTGCAGGTTCGAGTTAGGTGTTAGTAGTGTCGCAGGGTTAGTCAGCCATGCGAGAAGTCATCCTTAGGTAAGGCGCGTGGCATGGGCTCAGGTAAGTGGGTTACTTTCGAGTGCGTGGCTAAGAGTTAACAGCGTACTGTCAGTAAAACCCTTCAGGTTCAGGATAGCAACGACGCACCTGGCAACACCGTAGACGCGCGAACGCGAGCATTCCGAAAGTCCCCCGCACCAACCCGTACCGGGCCCAGATCCACTTCCGCACACTGATGCTGGGTAAGAGGGGCCCGACGGCCGGATAAGATGCCAGGAATAGTGGATAGTAGGAAGACACCCTCACACGACATCCTCCATGTTCTACAGCCTTAACTTTCTCTTCAAAAGATTCGTCTATAATGTGGTTTGTACAGGAAATGGATCTCATCTATGAGCAGAAAGTGTTTTTCAACATTCGTTTAGCTCGTAGGATTCACTTACCCATCGGCCGTCATTTCTGACACCCATGTTACTGGACCAAACAAAAACTTCACCCATACATTTGCGAAATAATATGGCAGCACATAATACATTATCAAGCCGACAGCGAAAAGACTAGCTCGAAGAGATGCCTATGAAAAGTGGTTACGTAACAGTTCAATCTCATGTGTAACTGCTTTCCATTGTACCTGCTTAAGAAAATTTATTTCTTCTTTTTTTCTTCTTGAGTTCCAGCATTTGTTGAGATTACCCTTAGCAATCTGAAATACACACTGACAAGGACCTTCACAAATAGAGACGAGAACAATAGTCGATGGCGGACGGCCCATTTTCCGAGTCGGGTGAGATCTTCATATGAAGGATTATCTAACTTCCTTACCAAAGCGACGCTAGATTTTTAGTTTGTTTTGTTTTCGATTGATGCCTTGTTCATTTTTTATCGAAAGAGGGCAGCACCATACTGGGTTGTAATGAGTAGCAGTTTCTGGGGATTTTAACAACTGTAGGCTCTTTAGCGCATGTTATTATGAGGATAATACTCACTCCTTTGTTATACATCCGGACGCGATAAATTGCTGCAAAGTCCAAAAGGAAAACAATGAGTAGGCATGTTGCAAAACATTCAGCATTTGTCGGAAAGGGGATCGTCGGACAATTAGGAGTATAATCGAATCCAAATCTCCAGTAGTCGTCGAAATACATGAAACGGCAATGTCCTGAAATGCTCCACTCGCTTCTTAAAGTGGAGAAACATCGACCATAATGTTGCAAACCCAACTATTTGTATTAATAAGATTCGCTGTGTATAATAGTCAACTCATCGCGCAATAGGCGCTACGAATCGTAATAGTAAAAGTATAAACAATGACTTTTCACCCGCGCAAAATCAGGCGCTTTGAAACTTGCAAATTCAGACTCAAATGAAGTTTACCCACTGCAGACCTTTGCACTGCCGAGCAGCGATGCTAACCGTTTCGCAGTGGAAGAAACGGTGTGTGTGACTTACGAATGGGAATTTCCACCTTAGAAGAAGTTCAAGCTGTCTAGTGGTCACCTTGTGAATCTTCCTGAGTTCTGAAATTTCTTGGATGGCGCCAATAGAATGCCTACATGATTGGAATAGCAACTTAAACTCTGACACCTCCGCACTACTGCTTGAAGGAAAATCTCGAAACTCCCTGAACAACGGCTTTGCCAAAGGACGTGACGACCCCTTAAAGCCGTTACCTGCAGCATTCTTCATTGTGGAACCGCTGGATCAGCGTAGATGCGTTCTGCGATGATTCCATCTGTTTCCCACAGTGGAGGAGATGCGAGCTAAGAGGACGAAGCTTGGTGACGCCTGACGGTGAAATATGATGTCCTGGAGAAAGTGGATACTGTTGTTACTATGTGGTGTGATAATGGAGAAATTCACGTCTATGCCACTGACCGAACGATGGGAAAGATGTGGAAAGAGCCACACTAAGACAGTGATGTGGCTAACGCAGCCTCCAAGAAACCTTCGGCCACACGGTCCACAGATACTTCAGCAAAAACAGATCAACTGGGACGAAGACTTTTCTTCTAGGCGCCATATATACCCGATACAATCCCATTTCTCCATTCAACTGTCATTCGCTCCTGTCCTCGCAAAACTCAATCGCTGAGAATAAAAACTCAAAATGTCAGAGCGTTCCAAGTAGTGCTCGAGTTTTTTTGTTTCACTTCCGGACAATTTTTCTGAAAGGGACATCCAATTAAAGGCACTGCCCGCGATCAGCTGACATCTTCCCCTCCCTTCGTGAGCAGGTAGACAGGCCCCGCAGAGGCAGCGACTGCACCATTTTTGCGGCGCAAAGGTGAGGGAGGAGGGCGGACATTGTCGTTCCTCTCATTGGCCCGACCCATTTTCATTGACCCCGCCCGCCGCTCTGCTATCCATAATGATAGAAGACCTGCTAAAGAACATCGGCAGAGACATTATTGGCAACAGGAAATCAGCTGTGATCAATGGCGCAACCACATCGACCACAACAGCACTCGCCCGGTGATCTCGTCCGATCACTCTCTTCGTTCTTCCTGTGCTCGTACTAAATCCATTCCTTGATCGCAACAATATTCTCTCACCTCTACACATCTTTCCAGAATCCGACTGAGAGTACAGCTTCCTTACCTAATATATAAATAAAAACCGTTGCGGTAGTAACTGCCAATAAAATCAAAGCAATATAAGCTGTGGTAGTATATAGCCTGAAATACTCACTTCCACTTATTGTTTCTAATACTGAACAAATAAAAATGAAACTTTTGCTTCGGTAATATTTGTAAAACGGAATACCGTTAACACTACGCATTATAAGAATAGCTACAATACAGGCATTGGGTCTATCCGTCAACCTTTATTTACTATCCGGAGATAAATAGATTTTTAATACATTTTTTGTTGTCCAGGAGCCACTTGCTCTCTGTTACCGCTGATCCCTGTGATCTCAATGATAGCGCAGAAAAACATGGCAAAACATCACTCTTCGCACAAAATGTTCGGTTGGAACATACGAGCCAACCCCTTACTCTAAGAACTGCGCCGATGCACTGGTTCATAACATTAACATCGGAAGTTCAACTCACGTATACTCTGCTATAGTGGAAGGTCGGAAAAAATATAGGCGCAAACGATTGAATGATATCAGAACATGCCCGTATACAGCAACTTGGAAACACCCTAGCAGAAGACCTCCACAATAAAACGAATATTTTTTAAGAGCTTCAATATCGCTGAAATGAGCAAAGTTCTTGCTTCTATCCCACAGAAGAGTACGGTAACGCTAAAAAATGTCGGAGAAAAAGCAGTTTTCTCCTCAAGCCAAGGTCGTGCGTAAGCAACCGGAGCTGTTTAGCACGCGCACCGTCTGCAGATTCAATCCCAGGTCGAGCCTTTTTCAAATAGATAAAACTGCTAACTCCTCCAGAGTCGGCTGACCCGTCAAAATGATGTTACATTAGGACCAAGCATTAATACTACCGTTTGTCGGGTCATAGCACAAGAGCTTCGGAAACGGTCTCAAAATCAGCTTTATCTCATCTGTCAAGTAATCCTTTACAAAAAGCCCCTGTGCCATGGGTTGAGGTGAGCTCGAACGCTTCTATGAACGTTTCGGAGCTGACAAACAGTAACGGCTGCAGCAGCATCACTAGTCATGCACTGACGTACCCCTCCAATGCATCACCCTCGACAATCTATTGAGGTGTACTACCCGGATGCACGGCATGCTTACTGACTGCTCTACAGTCAAGACTCACCAACTCAACAGAAACCCGAGGTAATGTGTCACTCTCGGCTCCAGCTTTCTCGGTAGTAAGGCGTGCTGCCTAGTGACTGCTGCAACACGCGCAGATAGTCAACGCTGGTACCTACGCGGAACAGTGCCGGAGCTTTGCTGAAGCTCTTCGAAAAAGCCCAAAGCAACTCCGTGTTGCCCTTCTACAAAAGGGCGCTCAACCCATATTTCAACATGCGCCATCATCTACAAGGAGTGAGTAGGACTGCTACACTTCAAATTCCTTGAAGTCCTGGTGATTCCCCGTGGCACCACATTTGGAGCGCCTTTTTGTTTCAAACTCTTTACTTTCTGAGTTTGTGAGTGACCAGATGTGACGGTGAACGGTCAACTTGATTTCTCAGCAACTCATAAACCATACCAAACTCACAAAAACACCATCGGAGTATAGTAAAATACGAATATCGCCAGCATCAAGGCTTCAAATGCGGCCAAACTTGCGCTAATACGCCCAAAAGAGTTAGCCATTCTTGGCGCTCGTTGAATGGTTATGAGCACGAAGCAATTGCACGTCACACCGATCACGGAGATCTGAAACGGGCATATTTGACCAACATGAAAATAAGGTTTTCTCGCAGAAGAAGACCTCAAAGGCAAAGCCACTGGAAAAAAGGAGGAACCACTGAACCTATATTGCGCTATAGCGCCCCTCCCTTACAATTTTTTGCCGCGAAACCGGTACAAGGTTGTTCGTCGCGGACCACACTACCCTCCCGACGCCATATTTTCAACTTCTATACCTGATCGCGGACCATGCCTTCAAGATGAACGGAAAGTGCAATAATTTGAATGCCTGTTTTTTTTCTGCACCGTGCCTTGTCTATTTTCTTCATTGAGTTCCTTATAATTACAGCGCAGCACTTTTCTAATAGATGGCATGAACGCCGTCTATGACATACGTTAGCGGGCATGTACTTATCACATATGTGTTGAAGCGATAAGTTTAACCTTTGATCAATAATTACAGTCCTCATCATTGCGGACTGTCGGGGCGGCACAGCCGCGCTGCACTGTGACGCGACAGCGGCTGCGGCTCGGTGACGGCGAATCAGCTGATTTCGATGGAATTCGGCTGCGAATTCCCACTTTTTCAGCTCTTCAAGCTTCGAAAGTGGAAGGTGAGTCATTTGAACAATTTTGAATTGTACTGGCTCTAATTTCCTTTATTTTTATGTCTATTATTATGCTCTTTTCCTTGTATTTTGCCTTATTTCAGGCATTTATTCAAATGGCTTGCATTCTTTCAGATTCATTCAGAGCCAGTACAATTTAAAATTGTTCAAAATAACTCACCTTCCACTTTCGAAGCTTGAAGAGCTGAAAAAGTGGGAATTCGCAGCCGAATTCCATGGAAATCAGCTGATTCGCCGTCACCGAGCCGCAGCCGCTGTCGCGTCACAGTGCAGCGCGGCTCAGCCGCCCGACAGTCCGCAATGATGAGGACTGTACTATCCACTCTAGAGCACAGGTAGTAGCTCGCCGTCGACGCCAACTGCCATCGCCTCGCCGACGACACCAGGACCTGACACCAGCTCAAGAGGTGTGATTCTGTCAACTCCGCATGAAATGTGCCGAGGCAGCACTATTTGAAATTTCCTTTCCTGACCCCAGGCTGTTATTGGACTTTATAGACCGTCTGTGTCTAAATCATATCAGTCCTTCTGAGTTCGGCTACATTGCTCCCAATGCAGCGAGTTTGACCAACTACGACAAAAGGTATCTCTGATACGTTTGTTAAATGCTTTTCTTCTTTTGTCCTGCAGTAATTGTTGTTGTTGAAAAAAATTGAACAAAACAAGCTCACCAAGGCTATTATTAGTGCAGCTACTTGAAACTGCTGAACAGCCATGATAATGTGGCAACCTACAACGGTTACCAAATAACAAAATAATTTCTGAAACAATAAAATAATTGCTGAAATCTCCCATAAAAAGATCTCGCGAAATGAAAACGGACGGAAGTACGTTTTTAACCGTGTTAATAAGTGGTGGTAGCTGAAACCAGTAGGAGCATGCCAGAATCCAAATAGAAGGCACTTTAAAGGAGGAACTCAAAAGGACACGATAAAGAGGATAATGGAAGGAATGAAGAGATGGATGACCGCTACGTTTGGAAGAAGGGAGAATACCGTCAAGCAATAAAGATGGCAAACTGAGTTATGACATTTCTCGGGCATCCTCTCCTCTCATGATTTAGAGGGACCCGGTCAAATTGCACGACGACACCTGGTATGAACCCGTTAATACCTTCTCCTTCTAATGAAGAAATGATCACCCCATATATATAATTCGCTTTGTCTGTTTTGTTTGTTTGTTTGTTAGTTTGTTTGTTTGTTTGTAAGTTTGTTTGTTTGTTTGTAAGTTTGTTTGTAAGTTTGTTTGTTTGTTTGTAAGTTTGTCTGTCCGGAAATTCGGTTCGACCTGAAGAACGACTTGGAGAGGTCCGGTCAAGGTGGGGATGGGTAGGGCGTGGGACAAGAAATAAAAAGCACACTTGACCTAAGGGAAGCTCCGCCCACAGTGGGCGGGGCACTCCCGAAAGTTTGGGGTTCCGCACAAAAATGTTCATAATTCGCTTCCGGGGCAGCCTAAAGATGGGGGAAAAAGGGAATAAGGTTAGTAAGGAGTCGCCAGACTAACTGTGGCAGGTACACCCTAAATGGGCGGGGCGTACTCAAGGTGGGCGGTGCTTCTCGCAAAATTCAGTAACCCGGTTCGCGAGAGTGTTTGGAAGTCGCAAAAAGCTCAGTTTAGAATGTAAATATCTGGCGAATATAGGGCACGCTCAAAGCGTGTTGAGACCCGCCCACAGTGGGCGGGGCTTGCCCTAAATCGCAGGGTATTCATTTTAAATGTTTGTAGCTCGGTTCCAGAACACTCCAAATACCGGAAAAAAAGTGGATTAAGGTCAGCAGAGGGTCGTCGGTGAGGATTGTGGGGCAAAAACATTGTGGGCGGAGCCTGCTCCGAGGTGGGCGGAGTCAGACAAAAGATCTGTAAAACGGTCCCAGAGCACTTCAAAGACCGGAAAAAAGTGGATCAAGGTCAGCAGAGGGTCGCGGGTGAGGATTGTGGGGCAAAAACATTGTGGGCGGGGCCAGCGTGAGGTGGGCGGAGCCAGACGAAATTTCCCTAAACTGTCCCAGAGCACTTTCAAAGACCGGAAAAAACGTGGATTAAGGTCAGGAGAGGGTCGTCGGTGAGGATTGTGGGGCACAAACATTGTGGGCGGGGCCTGCTCCGAGGTGGACGGAGTCAGACGAAGAATCTGTAAAATAGCTCAAGAGTACTTCAGACACCGGAAAAAAATGGAGTACAGAACAAAAGGGGGATATCAGTTGAATCTAGAAATATGTGAAAGAAAGCACGCGCGGCGAAGCCGCGCCCGCCCGGCGCAGCCGGGCCGTATCAGAAGGAGCCACGCCGGCGTCAGCCGGCGAGGCGACTGGTTACTATATATAGGTCGTGAACATACATTGTAACGCTAAAATTTCCTGAGAATACCAGTAACACGTGACCTACATATTTATGGAAGCTCCTTTTCCAGTCTTATGTCACCCATCCTATGGGTACTAGGTGAGATTTCCACCGCAAGCGTGTCTTGGCAAAGTTCGTGACTTGGGGGTCTTCATGTGACCCGCTGGAGGCGGGGGGGGAAGGGGGGAATCGTACATATCGGTGTTAGTAAAGGAAAACAGCAGTGGCAACCTTTGTGCGACATTGCAGTTTCTTTTGTGGAGCGCGGTATTCAGCTCAGTTGATCGCAAGAGAATTCATGACAAATTAATAATAAATGGTGGATTACACCAATGGACAAATCAAGTTTTGTCCTTTGACAACCGCAAAAGGAAGAGGTCAGGCTGGTCTAGCTTTCTCCGGTCCATTTTTCCCCATGGGAGCCGCGGCGCATTCTTTAAACAACTCGAGCCACGCAGATATCCGATATAGGAGCGCTGATTTAACACTGTTTAAAATGAGTTCACTTGCTCGAAACGAAGTCGTCTACATTAAAGAAGGTCAGAAATAAAATTTCACGTTAATGGTCTTGAGCCAGAGCCGCCATGCCATATTTGCCTTGGTGTACACTCCTTATCCCTGAGCTAGAGTAGGCGTGGCATTTGAATATGGCACGGAACTGCTTACTCGTGGAATATTCCAGTCCGGTACAACTGCCATATTGTTCTGTGTTGGGCACAGACACGACAACCATTGTATCAGGATGAAAATATCTCACCAAAAGCATAGACACCTCCAGGTTAAGTTGAAGCATGCAGCCACGCCTACCCGATCTCCGGGATTTCGAGTATACTTGGTCAAATCTTTCCCCGCAATCACAAACTCCGGCTGTCCCCTTGCAGAAACCACTCGCGAATAAATCTTTATTTTTTTCAGATGAATGGGAATCTGTTGAAAATCCAATGGGCCGTGCAGCGCGCCAATCACAATTGTTTCGGAAACCAATGAGCGGCGAGGGTCGCGTGAATACTTCTGCAACTCGTACGAGCAAATTTCCACGACTTGATGCTTCACTCTGACAGATTCCATCTCCGTTGCCTGCACTCTGGCGTCCACGAATGTAACTCTGCTCTCCTCCAAGGGTCTCTGCGCCTCTATGCGTCAAACTTATCCAACGCAAAAAATCTCGTTTTGCGCGTCTCCAAAGAGTTCTTTTGCTTTTTTCTGAACTGGTTATTCAAATAAAAGCATAAAAGATTGAGTTGCCGCTATTAATCAATCCCTCCACGGAATAGGGTACATACTTCAATTCCATTCAGAATCAAAGTGAGTGTGTAGCATGTACAGTGAGGCCAGATTACGGGGCCAGATTAATGAATCACTGTTTCAAACCTCCGATACCAAACACCGTTTCACTATCCCCGGAGGGTAGAAGGCTTGGTTGGCACGGGCGGAAGTCGACCTGGCTTCTGGTCCCCAGCGTAGTGAGCAGGACTAGGCTTGGCCCTCTACCACTACACCTGCCCCACCTAATCAGCCAGACAGTGCAACATACAAATGCGGATTGCGCTGCTTATTCTAGAACCCTACCACGAATAAGATGTAATCGAAGAATGTATCTTTAAATGCAGAGCCGGTGATTGCCATTCGTGGGCAGTGCACGATGTCAAGATGCAGGGCAAATCAACAGTGGAATAGAAAGCACGAAAGAGCGTTCAAGAGAGTAACAGGCAATGATTTCCGAGAGGATCTACACGTGGTGGAGACCCCCCCCCGCCGTGTGATGATGGAAGAGTGATGTGATAATGGTGGAGATCAAAAATTAGTAGGAGGATACGGTAAAGACCTTGTTGATTAGACCGCACGTAGTCCAAGGAAGGGCTTCTGCACGTTGGTTGATCACGGAATTTGCCTTTGAAAAAGTAATTATTGCTCACCATTAGGTAAGTTGATGCTGAAATGAACGCGTGTGAATTCACGCAGCACACTCGTTGCATTTTCCTCCCATGGACA